TGACATGTGACGTATTGATTGACATGTGACGTATTGATTGACATGTGTCTCTGCAGGGACCTATGGCAGCTGAGGGCGGAGTTTTCTCGTCTCTCGTCGTCTCTTCTGTCCAGCTGTGACTCTGTCTCCTCCGCCCTGAGACTCAATGCTCCTCACATCCAACTCTCCCCCTCCTCCTCCTCTCTGCCTCCCCCTGACCTCGCTCCCCCCTCTCCTCTCTCCTCCACTCTGCTCCTCCCTCATCCAGACTCCTCGGACTCTGAGCCTCCTCTCGTCTCCTCTTCTTCTCTGGGAACCTTCGTGTTGGCGGAGTTGGAGCAGAGGAGGGAGGAGCTGGAGCACCCCCTGCAGGAGACTGAAGTGTCACAGCTGAAGGAGCGGTAATGAGTGACACCTCCTCCATCCCTCTGCTGAATGTCAGCTGATAGTGACTCTGTGACTCCCTCTCTCCCTGTTGTTAGGATTGTGGAGCTCTCTCGCTCGCTGCAGGAGGAGCATGTTCTGAGGGAGGAGAGAGAGAGAGAGGTAGAGAGGCACAGAGAGACAGAGAGAAGTCTTCAGTCCGTCAGTCGAGCTGTGATCAGTCTGGTGAGTGAGAGAGCGCCATGTGGTCATATTGACCTGTGACATCATCAGTGACATCATCAGTGTGTTGTGTCTTCAGTCCAGAGTCCTGAGCAGCTGCAGTCGTTCTGTGTGTGTGTCCTCGGACAGCGTCCTCAGTCTAGACCTGTCCTCCCTGCTGTCTGTCCTGTCTCAGACAGAGAGCACCCTCCAGAGGAGACACCAGGAACTGCAGGTCAATCACACGGAGGAGCAGTTTCTACTGCAGGTCAGAGGTCATGGAGCTGTTGTTAAATGTGTGTGTGTTTGTGTGTGTTTGTGTGTGTCAGGGGGCGGAGCTCTCTCTGCGGCGGCTCAGTGAGGAAAACACAACCCTGCAGCTCCGACTGAAACAACTGAAAGACGACAACCAGCAGCTTCAGACACACACAAAACACTCTCAGCTGGAGCTCACACACACTCTGGACACACTGAGCAGGTGCATGCGAACACACACGCACAACATCATCCATGTCAGTCAGGTCGTGACATTTGAACAGGAGCAGCTTCTTTTCTTCTGTCTCATGAACATGGCAGGGAGCGCGAGATGTTGTCTTCGCTGCGTCTGCAGGTGGAGGAGGTGCAGATGAGCGAAGAGGAGGTGAGGAGGGAGAACAACAGACTGAGGAGTGAGAGAGAGAGACAGGAGGAGAGGAACAGACGCCTGGAGACAGAAACACACAGACGGTACCCTGCCTTTATCAGAAGGTCTGAGATGTTCGACCATGTGACAGGAGTAACTCCTCGCTTCACGTTTGTTTGTGTTTTCATCCATGTTGTGTGGAGCTGTCGCTGTGAAGACTGACACTTCAACTTCCTGTGGCTAATAATGGACTCACTGTACGTTGTTTATTTACAACATGTGGCTCTGTTTCAGAGTTGAGACGGAGTTGTTGGAGAATGTTCAGCTGACGGAGAGAGACTCTCTTCAGCGGATGGAAATTCACACTCTGAAGGTAAAAATAAATACTCTTCCCTCTGTTTGTTCTACTCATCCAGTTTCTTATCGTTCTGTTCCTTCCACTGTGTGCCTCCTGACGTCCTGTAGGGGGCGCTGGAGAGAGAGCAGCTGGACAAGCAGAGAGCAGAAGAAGAGACTGCGGACGCCAGAGACGCTCTGCAGAAGGTGCAGATTAAATTTTATATTAACGTCCATGTGTGGCCACATGTGTGTCAGCTGATGTGTCAATCACTCTCATTCATTCATTCACTCATTCATTCGCTTACTTTTGTGATTTTATAATAAACCAACATTGCTCAGTTTCACTGTTTAACACTCATGATAAAACCAGTCCAGGGAGTGTGTTCTACGTCTGTCGTCCGTCGAGTGTGCGTTGAAGCAGGAGGTGGACGAGGGACGTGACGCCGTTGACAAGATGGCCACCCTGAACTCGGCCTTGGAATCAGACAAGCGAGAGCTGAACAAACAGCTGCTGCAGGTATGGCTTCTCTCTCTCTCTCTCTCTCTCTCGGACAGTGCCTGGCTCAAAGGCTCCTGACCTGTGTTTGTGTTGGCAGCTGGGGTGTGATCTGACAGACAGCCAATCACAGCTGCACGCTCTGAGGTCAGAGGTCAGCTCTCTGCACAAAGAGGTCAAGACCCTCAGCAGCGACTGCAGCCAACTCAGGTGAGTGTCCACCAAGTAGAAACTTTCAAATATGGAGCTTCTATTAATGACAGAAGTTTTTATTCCACAACAGAAACCTCTGAAATCTCAAACAAAGTATTTAATCTAAATTAAGTTCATCCTGAATTTAAACTTTTAATCCTGAATTTAAACCTTAACTTTGATTTCAGAGCTCACAAGGAGCTGGAGGCCGACATTGTTCATCAACTGAGAGAAAGAGGGTCAGAGATGGAGAGAATAATGGAGGAGAAGAAGAGAGAGTTGGCCTCTCTGATGGAGGAGAGAGAGAAGGATGGACGGCAGCAGGAGGAGGTAGAGAAGAGGAGGAGGAGGAGTGATCATGTGACTCAGTTAGACATGTACACATGTATGATGAATGAAGTGTGTGCTCCTCAGATGTCCTCTAGGTTTGCATTGGTGTGTGCGGAGCTGAAGGAGGCGCAAGAGCAGCTGCAGCGGACGAGAGAGAAGGAGAGGAAGAGAGAGCAGGAGGAGCAGGAGAGAGAGAGCAGGAGGCAGCAGGAGAGAGAGAGCAGGAGGCAGCAGGAGGACAAGGAGCTGCTGGAGCTCAGGTACTGACTCACCTGAACAGGTCACAAACTTATTAGGAGCACCCAGCTCTCTCTCTCTCTCTCACTCGCTCTCTCTCTCTCTCTCACTCTCTCTCACTCTCTCACTCTCTCTCTCTCTCTCTCTGCAGGTCTCTGTCGGTGTCTCTCCACCAGCAGCTCGCTCAGCAGCAGAAACATCTGTCGCAGTCAGAGGTCGACAGATGTCAGCTGATCACACACGTTCAAACCGTACAGGACGTCAAACAAACCCTGCAGGGTGAGAGAGGGGGGGAGGGAGAGAGGGAGGGAGAGAGGGAGGGAGGGAAGGAGGAGAGAGAGAGATACTGTGTGTGTGTGTGTGTGTGTGTGTGTGTGAGATCTAATAGGAGGAGAATAACTGTTTTTTCTTTTTAAAGGAGAGATGGCGTGTCTGAGAGAAGAGCTAGAGGAAATGACAGCCAGGAGAGAAAGGAGTGAGGAGGAGAGGGAGGTGCTGAAAGAGAAGATGGAGAGACTGACAGAGGAGGTGGAGGAGCTGAGGAGAACAAGGATGGAGGAGGAAGAGGAGAGAAAAAAGGAGAGAGCAGCCTGGCAAAGAGAAAGGGAGGCTCTGAATGAGGACTTGGGGATGAGGGATGGAGAGGTGGAAGCACTGAGGAGGCGCAAAGAGGGATTGACTGAGGAAAAGGAGGAGAGGCAGAGGGAGGTGGAGAGACTGACTGGGGAGTTGATGGAGAGGACTATGCAAATCAGCCAGATGATGGAGAGAATACAGCGAGCAGAGAGAGAGAGGGAGAACCTGGAGGAGGAGGTGAAGAAGACAGAGCTGAGTTTAAGAGAGGAGGAGGTGAGGAGGGAGGACAGGAGGAGAGAGGACGAGAGGCAGAAGGAGAGAGAGATTGAGGCACTCTGTGACCGGATGGAGAGATTAGAGAGGGAGAAGGAGGAGAGAGAGGGGGAGGGGGAGAGATGGAGGATGAGAGTGGAGGAAGTGGAGGAGGAGATCAGCACACTGAGAAAACGAGAGGAGGAAGAGAGGGGGACTGTTGAGCGACTGCTTGGCAGAGTGGAGGAGGTGAAGAGGGAGAGAGAGGAGGAGAGGAAAAAAAACGAGAGACTGAAAGAGGAGAAGGAGGAAGCTGTAGGAGGACTGTCGAAGAGGCTGAAGGAGAATGTGGGGGAGATGGAGCTTCTGAGGGTGAGGCTGAACGTGGCGAAGGAGGAGTATGAGGAGGTGAAGGAGGAGGTGCAGCGGAGGGAGCGCAGCCTGGAGCGACAGATGAACGCCGTGAGAGAGAGGGAGGAGGAAGTGGAGGAGCTGAAGGAGCGACTGAGGCTGTTGGAGGAGCAGGAGGAGGAGGGAGTGAGAGAGCAGGAGGAGGTGAAGGAGAAACTGAAGCTGATGCAGGAGAGAGAGGAGCAGCTGGAGATACTGCTGAGAGAAACCCAGGATCTCCTGGAAGAGGAGAGAAGAGAGGGAGGAGAAAAAGATGACAGGATCTCCCTCTTGGTTAGAGAGCTGCAGGAGGCTCAGGCCGAGTCCGATGGAGTGAAGAGAAGAGTAAGAGAGGACGAGGAGGTAAACGACAGGCTAGAGGAGGAGGTGAAGGAGTGGAGAGAGAAGGTCAAGCTGAGTACGACAGAGTCAACAAAGATCAGCAGTCTTCTAAAAGAACGAGAGGAGGAGGTGCAGCAGCTGAGAGAGGAGAGAGAGGAGGAGAGGAAAGAAAAGGAGGAGGAGAGGAGAGAGAGAGAGGAAAGGAGAAGGAGGATGGACATCAAGCTGATGGAGTTGGAGGAGGAGAAGAGGGGGCTGGAGGAGGAGCGASAGCAAGAAAGGGAGGAGAAGAGGAGGCTGGAGGAGAAAGTGAAGGAGGTAAAGGAGGAGCAGGAGGAAGAGAGGGAAGAAAAGAGGAGGATGGAGAACAGACTGAGGGTGATGCAGGAGGAGAGAGAGGTCGAGGAGAAGGAGTTGTGGAGGGTGAAGGAGGAGAAGAGGAGACTTGAGGATAAACTGAAAGAGAGGTTGAAAGAAATGGAGTTACAGAGGGAGGTGCTGAGAAGTAAAGAAGAGGAGAAGAGGAAGCTAGAAGATGAAGTGAAGAAGACCAAAGAGGAGCAAGGAGAAAAGAGAGATCAGCACCTGCTGGTGGAGGAGCGAGGGAGGGCCAGAGTCAGAGAGCTAGAGGAGGAGAAGACAGGACTGATGGTGGAGCTGAGGAAGAGAGAGAGGGAGGTGACAGCACTGATGGAGGAGGTGAAAAGAGAACAAAGAGAGAAGAAGGATGCACAAGAGGAGGTCCAGAGGGAGCAAAGAAGGAGTGAGGAGACCCTTGATAAGTGGAGGCAGACGGAGGAAATAGAGGAGGAACTGAGAAGGAGTGAAAGGGAGGTGTCTTTACTTACAGAGGAGGTCCAAGAAGCACAGAGGGAAAAGAAGGGGGTGCAGAAGGAACTAATGAGGAGGAGAGAAGAGGTGACAGATCTCAGAGAGGAGTTGCAGAGGGAGAGAGATGGAGCACAGGAGGAGCTGAGGAGAAGGAGAGAGGAGGTAACTGGAGCACAAAGAGAGAAGGAGGAGTTAGAGGAAAAGCTGAAGAGGATGGAGGGGGAGATGATGGCTCTGAGGGAGGAGGTGCAGAGGGAACAAAGAAAGAATGAGGAAACCGAAGAGAAGCTGAGGCAGACGGAGGAAGTACAGGAGGAGCTGAGGAGGAGAGAGAGGCAGATGTTTGTACTAAGAGAGGAGGTACAAGCGGAAGAGAGGGAGAAGAAGGGGGTGCAGAAGGAGCTTATGAGGAGGATGGAGGAGATGACAGCTCTGAAGGAGGAGGTGAAAAGAGAACAAAGAAAGAAGGAGGAGACAGAGAAGAATCTGCGGAGGACAGATGAAGAGGTGATAACTCTCGGAGAGGAGGTGCACAGGGAGCGGAGGAGGAGGGAGGAGGTGCAGGAGGAGCTGAGAGGAGCTCAGCAGAGTGTAGAGGTGATGACGGAGAACCTGCGCTCCCTGCAGAGTCAGGTACAGTCCTGATGAAGAGGAGACATCGTCCTGAAGGAGGTGCTGCAGGAAAGCTTATGTCTCCTCTCTCTCTGCTTCAGGTGTGTGACCTGAATCGGAGCAAGGAGCGATCTGAGCAGGAAGTGAAGGAGAAGGAGCAGGAGAGGCAGCAGATGAAGGAGGGACTGAGGGAGGCGCTGGAGGAGATGACCAAACTCAAAGTGCTCCTGCAGGTACAGCGACTCCTGCTGGAGGATACAGCTCCTGCTACAACCTGTCCTTCACTTTGTCCCCATGTTCATTATGCTAAGCTAAGCTATCTGTTTCCAGTCTTAATGCTAAGCTAGCTATATGTCGTCCCACTTTGTGTCTGTCAGGAGAGCCACACAGAGGGAGAGCGACTGAGGACCGCTCTGAAGGACAAGAAAGAGGAGGTGGAGAACCTGAGGACGGTCAGAGAGGAGGTTGAGCGACAGAGGGAGGAGGTTGAGAAGGAAAGAGGACAGTTGGAGGAGCTGAGAGCAAGAACCAAGGCCCTGGAGAGGAGGAGGAGGGAGGTGATAGAGGGGCTGGAGGAAGCTCTTCATGCTAAGGAGAAGGCAGAGGAGTACAGGAGGGAGGCTGAGGAGTGTTGGAGGAGTAGATTGGAGGAGATGGAGGAGGAAAAGCGGGTGAAGCTGAGAGAAATCCAGACGGTGAAGGAGAGACATGAGGAGGTGGTGAAGGAGTGGACGGCCAGGAGGGAGGTGGAGGAGAGCAGGGCTGAGCTGAGACGGGTCAGAGCCACAGCGGCCATGTTGGAGGAGGAGAGAGATGGACAGGTGAGGAGGAGGACAGATGACAAGAAGAGAGGAGGTGATGTTGAACAGAAAACACTGTAGAGAGGAAACTGGTGTTTATTGACATGATGAATCTTTTCCTCAGGAGGAGGAGGAGCAGATCACGTCTCTGCTGCAGGAGAAGAAGGAGGTGAAGAGGCTGCTGAGGCTCCGAGAAACTGAGGTGAAGAAAAGAAAAGTTTAGTTGCTGCTGATGTTCAACGTCTCTGATCACATCTTAAAAAAAGTGTTATCAGCCTGGTCACAGGTTAACGATCACAACTGCACTGAAGCTGTTTCCTCACGTGTTCCTCACATGTTCCTGATGTGTTCCTGATGTGTTCCTCATGTATTCCTCACATGTTCCTCACATGTTCCTGATGTGTTCCTCACGTATTCCTCACATGTTCCT